AAAATTCTTAAAGCTAAATTATAATCGGTTAAAGCATTGTCCATGGAACCTAATTCTTGATTAATTTTTCCTCTACCTTTTAATAAAGAAAAATCAAAAGGTTCAATTTGTAAAGCCAAATTCATGTGTACCAGAGCTTCTTCACGATTGCCCATATTATATAAAATTTCAGCACGACCTTTATGAGCGGCAAAATTTTTCGAATCCAATTGAAGAACTCTAGTATAATCAGCCAAAGCTTCTCTATCTTTCTTTAAAAATTTATATACAATTCCTCGTCTTTCTAAAGCAAATAAATTTTCTTCACTTTGTAATGAAGCGTTAAAATCCAAAAGAGCTAAATCATAACGACCCATAAGTCTATAAATTTCACCACGATTCATTAATATTGAAGAAGTATTTACAGGATCAAAATTTAAAGCCAATTCTAAATCGGATAAAGCATCTTGATAAAGACCAAGAGAACAATAAGCTTTAGCACGACGTACTATAGCTAAAATATTTTTTGGATCAATTTCTAAAACGGAATCTAAATCATTAATAGCATCATAAAATCTATCCATAGCACTATAAACTTCAGCACGAGCTCTTAGAGCATAAATGTTCTTTTTTAATTTTAAGGACATGTTAAGATCGGATAAAGATTCATCAAATTCATTAAGTCTACGATATACTTCGCCTCTAAGAGAATAAGCACGAGATCTTCTTGGTTTTTTTGAGATAGCTCTGTTTAAATCACTAATAGCTTGATTCCAACTTTCAGCTTGATAAGAAGCATAAGCTCTATAACATATAAGAGAATAACTTTGAGGATATATTGATAGAACTTGAGTAAATAAACTGATAGCTTCATTGAATTGCATAGATTCTAAAGCATTAATAGCTCTTAAATAAATTGGATTTTGATCCTTTGATTTTTTTTTGAAAGAATCGAATAATTTATCGGTAGGTAAAGGAATTGAAAAAGTTAAAGTTCTTGTTGAACGAGAAGGATCATTCACGTGATGAGATCTATCAATAAAAGCACCGGGAGACCTAGCCGAAGCACTATTTGATCTTGAATGAGTCAAATCATCATTAAAGAAAGACTTCATGGTTGGTGATACCGGAGAATGACGATAAGACAAAGTAGGGGGTGATACAGGCCGACTGATTAAAGGGGCATCAGAAGGGGAAACGCTGGATTGTTGAGATTCAAAAACCGAATGTAAAGTTTCCAAAGAACGTTTATATTTATAATCATGAAGTCTGTCATCGTAAGAAAAACTTTTATCAAATCTTTTTGAGGAAGAAGATTGAGAGGTTGGAGGAGGGGTATAACTTTGAAATTTACGAGATTTATTATCATCTTTTACACGCATGGTTGGAAATTTTAATTTTCCTTTTCGATCATCAAAGCCAGGAGAGTTTAAAGGAGTTATTTCAGGAGAAGAAGAATGAAATCTTGGGGGACCATTTAAAGTTAAATCATTACGCTTTCCATTATTTCCACTGGTACTGGTTAATAATGGAAAGGTACGATATTTGTCTTTGTTGGGCTTTATATTTAAATCATCATCATAATAAATAGGCTCATCTAATAAGCTAAGTTTTTGATTAGCCAAAACTGGAGAACCGTTGTTAATCGGAGTAATAACATCTTCATCGGTAGTTAACACTTCGGAAGTAGAAGACCGATCATCACTTATGTATCCAGTAGAGGAAGAATGTAAACGAGAATGATAATTAATTATCGTTCTATCAGATTCAGAAAGGGAAGAATAAGTTGCATCGAAAGAACCCGTTCGTCTTCCGTTCGAACCAATTATGTCAGTTCTTTGAGGATTTTGAGGATTAGTAGGTTCATTCTGCCAAGAGAGGCCCGTTCTTATACCGGTATGAAAACCGTTGTTAGTGTGAGATAAAAATTGAGTTCCGTTATTTGGAAATTGGTATCGATGTATTTCAGTCATTTTTTTTTGTTATCGAAAATTCTTGTTAGAAAAAAAAAAAATTATTATTTTTTTTTAAGTGTAAATGGAAAAAAAGCTAGGGGATATAAAGGATTTTTTTTTTGCACATGTGCGTGCGTATTGATTCTCCTTACACTCTTGGCTAAATCAAATGTGCATATGAATATATGTATATATATATATTTTTTTATTGAACTTTATTAAACTGTAACGTTATTAGGAAAGATACAGTTTTAAAGATACAATGAGGGTGATATATAAATATATACCGAATGTATATTGAGATGTGTGAAAAAATTCAGATTAGAAATAAAATATAAAGTCAAATTGCTATTTTACGTTCGAGTGAGCATTATATAGCATTGTATTTATTAATAGAACCAATCTATTTTAATTCACTCACGTGACCAAAGACAATCTTCAAATCTAAATTTGGGACTAGCCAGCGGATTATTTACTAGCACTTTACACATCAAAATACTGCAATATGCAGGTTGTTTATCATTTCATTAGACGCATTATTAAGATCAAATAAAGATCAATGATAAGGTCAATGATACAAACTTTACTGTACGTACGGAAAGCACGAATTTATATATGTATATAGATATATATATATTTATTTATATTTATACAAAAAAGAACATCCAATTTTCATTACATACATTATATATATATTTAGTATATAGTTTATAAATATAAAGAATAAACTGCTCAAAAAGGATAAATAGTAACATTTGTTTTTAAAAGCTTCTATTAATCAAGGCCTTTCTAAGACACTTATTTAGATCCTTATTTAAATCTTAATTTAGATCCTTATTTAGATTCTTATTTGGATACTTCTGTACTTATCCAGATACTTATCCAGATACCTATCCAGATACTTATCTAGATACTTGGGTACATATCATCTTTCACCATACGCAAAGCTAAAATCTGTGGTTCATATCCTTTTTGCCATAAATTAGTCATACGTATTTATCGTTATAACGCAAGTACAAACGTAATTAAAATTTTTATTTTTTAATATTATTAATTATATTCGTAACGGTAAAAATTATTCCTGTTTACCAGTAAGTAACACGAACTTATTGTGTTTTTTCATTCGGTGATATTTATTTATTTCTTATTTATTTCTTATTTATTTCTGCAAAAATGGAATGCTCTTGTAATGAATTGTGTAATAATAAAATTACAAATAATGACTAACAATGAAACTTTTGTTGAACAATAAAACCCATATCATGTATGTACTAGGTCATGTTTAAAGGGTTTGAGATAGACCGCTTGCTTTCAAATCGGAGTATACATGTCCGATTCCAACCTGTGACTAACAATCACGAATTAAATGTAAAGTTATTAAAAGATCATTCCATGTGTGAATCCGACTGCTGGACTGTACAAATCGGAGTCTAGTTACTTACGGAAATGCACTTCTACATGGTTTAGCTACATGATTCTATGATCACTGAGTCAAATAAACTCATCGCTAAGTTTATTATATACTAAGTTTTACTAAGTTTATTACTAGGTTATTAATAGGTTTATTAATAGGTTTATTATTAGGTTTATTATTAAGTTTATTACTAAATTTATTACCAAGTTTAACCTGTTTAACCTGTTTAACCTGTTTAACCTGTTTAACCTGTTTAACCTGTTTAAACCAAGTTTGAAAATAACCTCTAATTATGTGTGGCTTAAATTATGCCTAAATTCCGCGTGGCAAAACCTTCTTAATGATTATTTGCATACTATAGTCTTCATTTCTGCATTTAGTATTACTCGTTCGTAATTAATAGTATTTGCTAAATGGTAAGTTTTAATTTCGCGTATCAAAATTTCCGAACCGCCCAAAATTGTAAATACCCTTTGTTCCTTAAACTTTTCCTTAGAACCCTCCTTAAACCAATTCATAAAAGATTAATGCCGTGCAACAAACTTATTTTTTAACTTTCATTTTATTACATTATATATATGAATTCTTTCATCAAAACTTAAGTCTTATGCATGTATTCTTCCGAAAATAAGCATCCCTTTCTGCACATTTGCACCTATTAGTGTAAATCGGCATCTATTTCCGAATAAGATAGTGACAATAGTAATTACATAATCTTAAATCTTATAAAATACAGAAATTACAGAAATAGGGGATTACGCTCCTGGCAAATGTTGTGCGATAGAGGCCTCTCCTTTCAATCAGTTGCTATAGTATGCCATTCAATTCGCCATTCAATTCGATTAGCATATACCCATTATTATTCATTATTATCTGTCATTTTTTACACTACATTTTGTATTCATTGTTACTTATTACTGTTTTCCGCCAGCTCTATCTAATTACGTTTCCAAAATTCGACTAACTTTAATCTTTGGTACTACACGAATTTACCAATTTTATTCGTTGATTTATATTAAAATAAATATCTCTCTAAATTCAAATTTTCTAACTTTGTAACTCTTACTGCATAATCTGATCTAATCTTCTCTAAATATCGATTAATTTAAATATACTCAAGTTATTTATATAAAAAAGATAAATATAAATTAGGCTAATGAATAAATGCATATACGAATTCGGCACTATAATTCCATATACGTACGTACGTACATAGTTCGCACATAGTACACACACAGTACGCACATAGTACAATACTACGTCCGTACAAAATCCTTCTAGATCCGCAGTGTTTGCGCTATTTTTCCATTTTTAGTAAAATAAAAAGGAGTGAAATAAAGATAATGGGCGGAAATATTTGCTCATTACAACTCGGTTCCCTAAAAGCCAATTTACCGAAAATTTGTTTTATCGGTAAAATGTTTTCATTACACCTACATGCATACAGATATATATGTACCTGGTGTAATGCATAATGGTGTAATGGTATAATCATATATTAACATATAGTAACTGTAACCGTGACATCAGAATTTGATTTTCTGGCTTTCTTCAGCGGTATAAATAAATTTGGAGGGTGTACTATAACAACCGCTTAACTTAGTAAGGTAGAAAACCTTAGATTGGTTTAGTCG